AAACAGTATCATATTGAAATAAAAATATAGTTTCCTTGAACCGCTCAAATTTTTATTTATTTATTGTGTTTTGAATAGCAACCGAGCTGTTATAGCCACAATGTACATAGTTGTGTTTTTACCCTCAGAAAACATGAGCTGTTTAAAGCTCTACTTGTCCAAATTAGAAATTAATTACAAATAGTTTATTTTTGCAATTAAAGTATTCTATTTTTTGCCTTGTTTTAAAATTATGTACGTTATAAAATTCCAGAATACAATAATTAACAATCTGTCAGTCCATTGTTTTGTTCAGTAGACAGTAGTTCGTGTTCCCACATTTTTACAAAAAAAATTGAATTGTTATTTTCTCTGACAGGATATAGTTGCTTTTGAAATACAAATAAACGTGCCATATAAGACAGATTCCCGGAAATATAATTCACGGAAAAGTGAAGGTAAATGTTTAATGTATGATAGGTAGTCTGTTCCGACTAACACAATTTTTATCTCAGATAAGTGTAACTGTAATAATGAATGTATGTATTATTATTAAATGCGCCTATCGACAACAAAATCAAATTTATTTAAAAAAAATACGGAAGTAGACTTTCGGCTAATATATACAGGGCGTTTCTCAAGTACGAGCACGACTGCAGAGCGCTGTTCATATAGATCCAAATGTATTGCCAGCCATGAGATTGAAAAAATGTTTTCAAATATTTATATTTCACTAAATTGATAAAAAGTGTTCTTTAAAGTAGAATCTAAGAATTTATACGTCACTAGTTTTTTTCAAATTATTAGTATTTTAATGTCTAGACTATTCTAAGGAAAAAAAAATTAATAAAAAACAGCCATTTACTAATTTTTTAAATTTGATATAAATCATGTAATCTTCATGCAAATATAATTATTGTCTGATAAACATCGCGAGTTCAACAAAAACTAATAAAGCGTTTTCTAAAAAGTTCAGATAATATTGTCTAACCAGGCGGTTTAGAAATATAATAGGTCTTATGCGATTTTCGAAATTTTAAACTGACTTCAGTAGGTACTAATAAAGAATTGGGATTGAGTTTACAAGAGGACAAATTGACCAGAAAGTGAAATATGGAGACGAAAAAAAGACATTCTTGATAAAAGTTTTTGCTTGTCTAGAAAATACGAATCACCAAACGCATTTCAATTTTCTTGTACAGGGTGGGTCAAAAACACAAAAATGTTATTTTGTGTAAGAAGAGTAAAAACATACCTAATTTTGAAAGATACAAAACAGTCATTCTTGATAAAAGTTTTTGGTTGAAAAATGATTAAGAGTCATGTTATCGAAAATTTAATTTTTTATACAGGGAACAAAGTACAAAACTAAAATACGTCTTATTCGAGTGTAATTTTTAAATAATACGAACATAATTACAACAACAATTAAGCTAAAGAAAGAGTAAACAAAGCAATATGATGAAGATATTAAATTTCAAAAACACCACCCCAATATTGAACACATTTTTTTTTTAATTACTTCCTTAGGAAGGAAGGAATTTCTGATTTCTTCTTGAGATATTGAACGGACAGCCTGGGTAATTCTGACTTTTAGTATTTCAGTATTATTTGGTATTGGAGTAGCTTAAACAATTTGTTTAAAGGACCCAACACTGTAAAAAAATCAGTGTGAGTGGTCAACAAAGGTTAAACTCAATATTGGACATTTTGATCATTTTACTCATTTGTGATTATATTTAAACTCAAATTGAGTACTTTCACTCAAATATAGGTACTCCTTAAATAAATTCTTCACGTAAATTCGTATTTGGTGCACTTACACCTAAATCAGAGACCTATTTTCATATCTAGATGCATTGTCTTTGTCTGTTCCCATCGTCCCATTAGGTTATCTCGTGACTGTGGCGTGGTGGATGGCAGTATGGCGTATGGCGTGCTTTGGTGTTGGACAAATATCGGTCTATCTGGTTATTGTAGTGAAAATTGTATTTAAATGCAGTGATTTAATTACAATAATTACAATATATTAAGTCTAGATTAATATTTGGTTAAATAAATGGAGAGTTAAATTGTTATCTATAATTACGTATTTGTAACGTATAATATAGGTTATGGCAATCTATTCGACCGATCAGTTCACCAATTCCTTTAATCGAGACCTAAAATATTGTCTCTAAAACAGATCTGTGTAAAAACCACTGTGACAGTTTAGTAGTTTTATAGTCCTTTTAAAGTTTGTTGCCTTTTTATTTTGATCTTTATATCTGTGTTATTTGTAAGTTTGTACTATTTTTCTATCTCTCTATTTTTTCATAGTTAATTTTTCTCTCTTTTACCTATTTTTATATTTTATTACTAGACTTAACTTATCCTGTCATTGGGCATCGCCTGTTGGATGTGTATTTTAATTAAATAAATAAATAAATAAATAAATAAATAAATAAATAAACTTTAATACAACGATATTTAAAATAAAATTTAAAGAGAATATAAACCAAGTCTGAGTAAAAAATTACTCAATAATAGTTACATTTAAATCATATTAGAGAAAAAGTCAACTCTAAATTGGTTTTATATACTCGGAATAGAGTCAAAAGTCACTCAATTGATAGTCAGCAGTAACTCGGATTTGAATAAAACTCATTCATTTCGGCTGCAATAGTTTCACTCAATTGTACTCATACAACTTAGAGTAAAAATTTCACTCAATCGGTTGTGGACAGAAATTGATACATTATTGAGTAAAATTGAATGTTTGAGTGAAATTTGTTTAGAGTGTAGGAACATATCGGCCATGGTTAAGTCAGGGCTCCTTGGGGGCCATAAAATTGGACCATTTCACCAATCCATCACGAGCACAGTATGCTGGACAACTACCCTGTTGAAAATAAGTTTTTTGGCCAAAATTTAATCGTAAATTTTCGAGTTCATAGCTAAAAAATGTATCAAACATTTCTAAGTACGATATTGTAGGTGTATAAAAATATGAGCCTATAATGCCTTGGTCAGATATTGCGAATCGCACGTTCACTTTTCTAAAATATTGTCTTCGTGTCATTATTATTAATTCAGGGTTTTCTGCAGCTGCTGCTGCTGCTACCAGTAGGTGCTGGGGTGTTACAGTTCCGTCACTAGAAAATGTACATTCACCAGAAAATAACGAGCGTTCAAATAAAAACGTGGTCAAGTTGGTTCTGAAAATTTGGACGTAGGGCGTAGCGTATAGCAAATGAACTTAAACGTCATCTGTCAAAGCGCTATATCGCCGCTATCAATTTGAATATTTTCATTTTAAACGCTTTTTAAAACGAAAATATTCAAATTGGTAGCGGCGATATAGCGCTTTGACAGATGACGTTTAAGTTCATTTGCTATACGCTACGCCCTACGTCCAAATTTTCAGAACCAACTTGACCACGTTTTTATTTGAACGCTCGTTNTGTATGTATGTATGTATGTATGTATGTATGTATGTATGTATGTATGTATGTATGTATGTATGTATGTATGTATGTATGTATGTATGTATGTATGTATGTATGTATGTATGTATGTATGTATGTATGTATGTATGTATGTATGTATGTATGTATGTATGTATGTATGTATGTATGTATGTATGTATGTATGTATGTATGTATGTATGTATGTATGTATGTATGTATGTATGTATGTATGTATGTATGTATGTATGTATGTATGTATGTATGTATGTATGTATGTATGTATGTATGTATGTATGTATGTATGTATGTATGTATGTATGTATGTATGTATGTATGTATGTATGTATGTATGTATGTATGTATGTATGTATGTATGTATGTATGTATGTATGTATGTATGTATGTATGTATGTATGTATGTATGTATGTATGTATGTATGTATGTATGTATGTATGTATGTATGTATGTATGTATGTATGTATGTATGTATGTATGTATGTATGTATGTATGTATGTATGTATGTATGTATGTATGTATGTATGTATGTATGTATGTATGTATGTATGTATGTATGTATGTATGTATGTATGTATGTATGTATGTATGTATGTATGTATGTATGTATGTATGTATGTATGTATGTATGTATGTATGTATGTATGTATGTATGTATGTATGTATGTATGTATGTATGTCGGAGAGTGGTGGAATTGTTTTTCCACCGCGGCACTTAAGGCCTTATTAGGCCCCTTGTACACTCTCCTTCATTACTCGAGTACTTTTCTTCAAACCATCCTATTTACTACACGGGTAGCTTGGTGGAAGTCTCGTACAGTTTATGTATGATAGCATGGTCTTGAGTTACAGAGATTTTCTTTGCTCTATTCTCATTACCATTTATCAGGGACCACACGCATGCGGCAAATGTTGAGCGAGGTCTCTGGTAGGCTGCTACAGCCACGTCCCCGAGCCTACCTTAGGTCACCCATCCAAATTCCAGCCTGCGTCCGTGATGCTTACCTCGGAAGATCGAAATCCACCGGCCAAGACACCCGGCTAGGCTGTCCCCTTTTACATTAAATAATTACTTCATTAAATAAAAACAATGACGAGTACGTTCTTATGTGTCATTATTACTTTAGGAATTAGTAGGTACTTTAATTAGAGGTGTGCTAGAGAATACTTAATTAAATTTTTGATAACGTGACTTATTCATTTTTAAAGCAAACTCTTTTATCAAGAATGCCTTTTTTCGTATCTTGCAAAATGAGGTATGTTTACTCTTACGCAAAACAACATTTTTGCGCTTTTGACCCACCCTGTACAACAAAATTGAAGTTCGTCATGGTGATTCTTATTTTCTAAACAAGCAAAAACTTTTATCAAGAATGCCTTTTTTTCGTATCTTTCACTTTTTGGTCCATTTGTCCTCTTGTCTCATTTATATGCCACATCACAATGGAAAGGATATTCTCAGATATACCCATTTCATGTTCCATGGATATTATTTCGTCCGGAATACACCTTTATTGCCGATAAAGCGCCTAATGTCTTTTTTATTGCAACTTACCAATTGTTGGAAGAGGATGTCTTGGTCTATCAGTGCTTTGGCTAACATTAGGGAATGCTGGGGGGTTACTTGCGTGTCTGCAGTGCCGTGAATTAATAATAAATTCCTCTCGTTGAGATTCACTGCCTTCATCGTCAAATCGGCATTGTCGTACTCTTGGAGGTGTTTCGATGGGAAACCGAGGTACTTCTCTGCGAAATACGAATCTGAAAAGTAAAATTTATGTTTTCAAATCTCTCAGTGGAAGGTACACAAACAGAAGATACTATAAATATTTGGCACATTTTTTTTATTAATGTTTATAATTACATTTATTATTCATTCATTATTTGACACAACCTACTGAGAGGTTCCTGGGCATGAAAGGAGATTTTAATCAAATATTTCTCGAATCAGACTGAAAATTTTGTTGCAAATATGAGGTGGACGGTGATTCTACAATATCTTGGTGCTGGTAACAATGGCAATATTTATTTATGTTATGAGAAGAGGTACCAAATTAGATAAAACAAGAAGTACCTATACTGTCTACCTTTTGAGTAAAAGTTTATTGATAGATTTTCTGTAAAAGGAATGTTATGATAAATTGTAAAACTGTAAGAAGACTTTTAATTTGAGAACCAGAATCTCAACACTTGGAAGCTAAATATACCTTAATTTTACAGATTTGTTATCCGACATATGTAACTTAAATATTATAATTTTTATTTTAGCTCTATTTTAATTTTAACTGATTTGAGATAAACCTCTCCTGCACTATTGATTTTGGCTGTTTGGTTATTTTAATTAACTAATTTAATACTTGATCAGTAATATTTGTGTTATCATTGTTTTATCAACAAACTGAATTACGATTCACGAAGCTGGATAATTCATTGATGCAAATTAAGAATAGATTCAAGTACAGATCCCCGTGGTACTTTTATACTGACAGTAAGACAAATAGATCTAAAATTACTCTGAGTTACATATTATTGTCTGTTGGCAAAATAACGTAAACGAATGTAGTAGCTTCATTTCCATCAAGAACCTAGATGACCTTTTCTGGCTTTTAAAAGATTTAATATAGACCCTTGGGTTTTGACTTACAACTGAAACTAAGTGTACTTCCGTTTTCTTCCTAAATTATCAATTTATGGATATCAAAATATGTTTACATCTGCCCCCACTATATAGTCCAGTCACTGAAGGCGAAAATAAAGTAAAAGCTTCCAATTTTTTCGGATAGCATGGATTTTCCTGAAAATTTGCATACAAGCTCATCTGACCCCCCACTTCAAAAGTTATATTGTCTAGATGTGTACTTTTTTCTATTTGGGGGTGGAAACTACCCTTGTACGAAAAAAATGTGAAAGATTTACGTATTTTAAAGATTCAGTTCATGTTAAAATATGTTAGATAAAGTTCCTTTCACGTTTTTTAATATAATTTATGAAATTTAATTACTTTTCAACCTTTAAAAATCCTTAAAACTAACCTTCCATGGCCAAAAAAATTGAAAAAGATTTTAACAGTTTAAAATATTCTTTTGGTGCATTCGCAATGTATTGCATTTTTTTTGTTATTAATTAGAAAGCTTACGACTCATTACAAAGTTGCAACCCTTAAAAAGCATCTCTTATAATAAAATAAAATATTATTGAAAGCTTGAGATCTTTTAATGGTTTGCATATGTTGAATTATAAACTTTGTATTTGTTTTCAAATGATCTATGATATATTGCAACTTTTCAGCCACCCTTAAAACCCTTACGGAAGACCTACCCCTCATATATGTGTATGATGATATAATGAATTTTTTTAAATTTTATTGAATTTATTCTTAAAATTTTTTTATTAAATTTATATAAAATAAAAAATTTTTTATATACATTATAAATGGATACGTTTGTGTATGTATATTATTAAAATACTTACTTTTGTAATTTTAAAGTTATAAATTTACTCAAATAACCATTTTGTAGGGAATTTAAAGCACTTTAGTTCTGTGATTTGCAGTTTTTTTGAGCCCTTCGTTTTTTAGATTTGTGAGCTAAAAGGGCTGAGGAAAGGCAGCCTTGGATCTTAGTTTTGAGCTTCTAACGGTCATGACAGTCAAATTTTGTCCTACAAAAATTTTAAATGCAAATTGTTCAGTAAGAAAAAACCTACAATTTCTTAGTCTGTCATTTTTGAATAACTTTGTTAGTTTTTGAGATATTTTGAAAGAGGCGATTTTTTTAAAAAATGAAGTTTTATTCAAAAGTAGATGAAAATTTTTTTTAAATTTAGGCTTCTAAAATCGTTCAAATTCCCAAAATCTACTGTTAATGCAGCAGGAATACGTTTAATTTTTTTAACTTACCTCCCTAGGTAAAAAAGCGATTTCGAGTTATAAATGCATATTTTATTAACAAATTAACAGAAATATTTGATGAACATTACCTACATTCTATTAATTATTATGAATGAATATTTATAGTAATTGTACAGTTATTACATTTAGTTAAATTTATAAAATCTGGATAATTTATTTCACTCGCGTTTACTAATTGTCACATTTTTCTCAAAATGATTGACCGCTCCATTTCAGTCACCGGAGGCTCAATATTATCTGACTGTTCCATTAAAACAGTATGATGCGACGTACTATTAGAACTGGAGTTGAAGTGTTATTGTAAAGAATCCTGTTGGCTATTTCATTTTTGATACTTAAACTGTCAGCAACATAATTTTCTGCAATTGTGGCTGATTTCCACCCACCATGTCTCTTGATTGCTAATACATCAACTTCCGTATTAGCCAGTAACGTTGCCGATGTTCTTCGGAATGAATGGCATGTATATGTTTCAGGATGTTCTAGTTTCACAAACTGTGCAATCTAATTAGGGATCATAGAAATGGTATTCTTGCCGACTGGTTGGTTCTAACATCTACCTGCTTGACAGCGCTTAAAAAAACGTGAAATTTCAGTTTTAATTTCTAATCTAATCTGACATATTTCTTGAGAATTTCTAGGTGACAAAGAGAACCCAGACGAGAAGTAATTGTAAATGTACGTGATATACCATTTTTAAAATCTGGAATTGTAACTACGATAATGTCATCGAAATTTTTGAAATTGACGTTGTTCAAGGTAAGTTTGCATAACTCATCAGAACGGCATGCTCCCGCAATTACTAAGACTGTCACTACCTTCATTAGCAAATATGTGTTATCGGGTGCCTGAACGAGAAAATCGTTGACTTATTCTCTTGTAAAAACGTTTGACTTCTTAGGTGTATAGCCGTCATTCTTACTTTTCAAAAATGCTTTCAGCTTGAGGTATTTTGATATATCCACGTTCTCCTCTATGAAAATAGTTGACTTAATCATTGAGTTTGAGTATTCACTCCACAAACTCGCCGGTGACTTTAAAGTTCTTGATTTCTCCATGAAATATGCTAGCAGTGACATTTCAGAAACACCAGTATTTTTGTTCTGGCACCATTCTTTGAAATTTCTATATGCTCATCCGTATCGCACTTTCGACTTCTCGGGCAATAAAAATTCGCATAGAAAATCATTCATTTAGAAATAATAATTCAAGACCAGCAAAATTGCAACTTCTATGTAGCTTTGTTATAAAAACACCTTAGAAACGACAAAATCCAAACAACCAAGGCGACTTTGCAAGATTTCGAATAATGTCAAAATGAATTGATTAAGAAATGTCAAAAATAAAACCTAATCTTTATTTCATGAACCATAAAACTGTGGGAGCAGATAAAATGTTATACACCACGCAGCAGTTAAATATAATTTACCAGTCTCGGTCTCTATTGCCAATCCTCGTTCCGCTCGGGCACAAAATCGTCCTCTATTGGTAAATAATACCTATCTCCTTTAAGGTGTAAATAACTAGTAGGTCATTGCTGGTGGTAAGGTGCAGCTATGCCATTTATCGATAAGCGTGAATAATAAGTAGGTAAGTGAATAATTTTAATAAAAACTCATTCTAAGAAATACACCTTCTGAGATTGTCAACTTGGTTGGCTGTTGGTTGGTGGTTCTGAAAGTACTGCAAGAATCTGAGTTTTTTAAACTTTGACTCAATCATCTTATTTAGTCCTCAGTAATCTTCCACTAAGCTAGGTCTCATTTTTAATGAAACACGCACAACAAATAACGTTTGACTGAACATTGTGACAGTATACTTCAAGCAAATACAATTGGTAAATACTTACTGTAATACCTCCAATTGGTAATCGGAGAAATACTGACTGAGCAATTGATAACCTGGTGGAAGTCCTGGAGGAGCATCATGGCCGACACGAAACCACCGTATCCTTTTCCGGTGGTACAGATCTTGGTCCTGTCGATGAACTTGAAAGTGTCTCTCAGATACGTTAAGACCGCGAGCTGATCCTGTACCTCGATGAGACCTATCCTGCGCTGGATTTCGCGTCTCATCTTGATCCCCTGAAAGCCCGATCCTCTGGCGTCTATCCTCGCTACGACGTAGTTCCGCGTGCTCGTCAAGTACCAGGGCCAGGACAATTCCCACTTGGAAGAAACGCTTTGGGAAGAAGGTGCGGCATCACTGAAAAAAAATGGGAGGGGATTTCAATAACTGAGAGTGCTGCTCTTTTTGCTTCCCCTCTAACATATCTGTATAATTTTTTGTTAAGGGTCTAATAGTCATTTTAAATTTATAAATATTTGTTTCTATTGATATGGTGTCAATGATTGCCCAACTATTGTGTTTGTTGATTACAATGTTCTTTATCAGATTGTGTACGCAATGTTTAAGATTCCTGTAAAATTATTACGTAGGTATTGCAATATCCTAAAAACAAAATATATTTTCTTGGAATCCTTGTACGTATACCTACATATATAGAGCATTATTCAGTAATTTCAATTTATTTTATGTTCCTTTTGATACAAAATTGCCAATATTCAGCATTCAATTGAAAGTATTTTATGAAGACCGATATATGTCAGGAATAGATATTAAACAAATAAGTACAGAAAAAATATTTACTTTTTTGCAAGATTAACGTTAACATTCTGTAAGAATATGTTCTTAATAAGGTCGTATGGATTGTAAAAACTGTAATATACAGGGTGTGGCGTGTATATCTATAAAAATTAAACTACAGCTTCCTGATGATATTTATAATAGAAAAGTCTTATACGAAATAGTTCCATCTTCGCGTTTTTTTCTTGTAAATTAAAATTAATTTATTCAACGAAAATGAAGGCCGACCTTGTGTTATTTATTAAAAACTTTGGAAACGTTTTTATGCGACCCGAGAATGATGCAACCTTATAATTTAGGTCTGTATAATCTAATACTAGTAATACTAAAAGAAGGTTAGGTTACATTGTCAAAAAATTTGTGCAGTCAACTGATTTTGTATTTGTATTGAATTCATTATTCACTTAATTATTAAATATTAAGCACCGTCCATCCACCCATTAGTGTTAAAAAGTAAAAGATTGCAGACAAAAGTTTTTATTTTGTAATTCCACGATAGTGTTAGTGTAATTTTTATAAAGAAGTAAAAAATAAGAATAGCGTGTCGATTACATTAAAAACGAGATTCTTATTTCTTACTTTGCTTAATTTTTAAGATTGTGCACAAACTAGTTTTATAATGAACCGAGAAAACAATGCATTTACTATTTCCGAACGTGTCGATATGGTGTTAGTGTATGGTGCAGTCGGAGAAAATGCGCTCGCGGCGACTAGATTCTACCGGGAACGATGGTCACAACGTCACCCCCCATGTGCAAATACAATTCTACAGTGCGTTCAGCGGCTACGAGATACGGGAAGTGTTATGCCTCCAGAAGAAGGACGTGGTCAGCAAGTGAACCTTAATGTTGAAGATGCAGTGATGGAAAATCTTGATGAAGACCCCAGAATTAGTACTCGACGACTCGCACAGTAAGGAACCTCATCTCGTACCATACATCGCATCTTAATGCGCCAGCTGTTGCAACCCTATCATCTGCAACCAGTTCAACAGATTTTACCCCCGGATTGTGATCAACGAATGCGTTTTTGCAGATGGTTTTTACGACAATGTGCCAATCAAGTAGACTTTTCTGCTTATGTTTGTATAACAGATGAGGCGACATTTACCCGTGATGAAGTGGGTTTCCATAATATGCACATATGGGCCGATGAAAATCCTCACGCGATTAGGGAAACTCGTTTTCAATATCGGTTCTCGGTAAATGTTTGGGCTGGCATAATAGGCGATGTAATTGTGGGTCCCTATTTCTTTGAAGGACGACTAAATGGACCAATATATGCTGGCTTTTTGGAGAACCGGTTGCCTGAATTATTGGACGATGTGGCATTACAAGTTCGGACACGCATGTTTTATCTTCAAGATGGGGCTTCTCCTCACAGTACTCGGGAAGTAACGACAATTTTGAATGAAATGTTTCCTCGGCGATGGATTGGACGCTTAGGTCCTGTGCCGTGACCACCTCGATCATCCGATCTAACTCCAATGGACTTTTGGAGTCACTTGAAGTCATTGGTTTACAATACTCCAATTCCTATGGTGGAAGAATTGCGAAACCGTATACTTGAAGCTGCTGACATAATTAGAGGAATACCTAGAATTTGGGAAAATGTTCGCCAAAATTGGGTGCGTCGGTGCCATGCCTGTATCTGCGTTGATCGGGATCAATTTGAACATTTTCTCTAGAAATGGTAAGTTTTATTTCATTTTGTTCCATAATGGAGTTTGTTTAGTGTACGCAGTTGGCAATTACAGATGCTTACGGATGTGTTTTTTTTGCGTACTCTTGCAGTAACAACAATGCATTTAAGATAGTAATTACTATTAATTATTATAATAAGAAAATATCAGTTTTTTTTTAAATATCAATTTTTCTTAGTTTCTACTTTTGCACTGAAAAAGTCCCCATAAATTGAGAAGTATCTTTATATCTTTCAACGACGATTTGTTTATGCGGCTAGTCCACAGCACGTAACTCATCGTACACCACAAGGACAGGACCGTTCCAGAGAAAATATTTTGATCCATAATTGAACTTTAATTTACGAAAAAAAACGCAAAAATGGAACTTTTTCGTATAAGACTTTTCTATTACAAATATCGTTAGGAAGCTGTAGTTTAATTTTTATAGATTATACATGCCACACCCTGTAGAGAGCATTATTCAGTAATTTCAATTGATTTTATGTCCCTTTTGATACATAATTGCCAATATTCAGCATGCAATTGAAAGTATTTTATGAGGATATATTGTCAGAAATAGATATTAAACAAATAAGTAGGTACTTACACCAACAATAATATTTACTTTTTTGCAACATTGACGTTAACATTATGTAAGAATATGTTCTTAAAAAGGTCGTTTGGATTGTAAAAGCTGTAATATATACCTAATTATAATTACTGTAACTTCGGTACTGCGGAATTATTCTCGGAATAAATTATAAATACCTACAATGAGAAATTTCAATGACCAGATTTAGAATGCTCTTTACATTTGCCAATTTTTGACTCAATAAATGTATTCACGTAAAACATAAATAATTGCAGTAAATTTTTTAACAATAAATCGATAAAATTGGGGTATTCTGCTACACACACTTTGCTATTGCTTTTGTTATAGTACAAGTAGTTACGTTTTTGTTATTGTCGTCATGCTTTTTTATTTTAAAAGTTGTCAGCCTTAAACGTGACGAATAAATTGCCAATGTTTTGCAACAGGATGTCGCACATGCAGCGAACTCTCTCGGATGATTTCTACAACAATTTATTATCTCAAAAATTATTACACGTAAAATCCGTTTGAATTGTTTACTCAATCTGCGGTAATTTGAAATGAGAATTGGGAAATGCAGATATAGTAAAAGTTTTGAATAATCAAATTAACCTCAATCTAATGAATTATGTATGTGTGGAAAGCACATTTCCGTAATGTGGTTAAATAAATTATATTTAATCAGACAAAAATAAATATTTACCTAAATATTTCGATAGTCCTATGGTATACAGCATGTCAGGATGAATTGGTTAAACCCAAATTTTTAATTCTAGCACTCAAGAAAGAAAAAAAATGCTATATTACTTCGCTGCCCATCGCCAACATCTTTGATTTAGTATCATTATTTTACAGACTCAAATACTTCACATACGCACAGGGGGTATTGATAATATACATGGTCGGAAAGTCCCCATGGTTCATCGGCCGTTACGTGAGAGCGATAAAGTAAGTCGTAGAAATCCGTGCGACAGAGAAAGATGCCTATAATGAAGGCGTCTAATAGTCACCGCCCATTTCGCCCTTCCACAAATAGAAGTGGATCTTATTTGTGGAAGGGCGAAATGGGCGGTGACTATTAGACGCCTTCATTATAGTCATCTTTCACTATCGCACGGATTTCTATGACTTTTTTTATCGCTCTCATGTAACGGCCGATGAACCATGGGGGCTTTCCGACCCTGTATCCATAAGTGTATCAGTTGGAAATTGTCACAAGACATTAAAGAAGTAACTGCATAAGGGGCATTCCACGCCCAATCGAGCACTTTTAACCCTGACCTCTTTCGATTTGGCTGAAACTTTTTTTATTGTTTTCTACCCCATTGACATCTGAAAATTTTTTCAAATTTTTCAAAACAAAAAAAATTATGAATTTTAAAAAATGGCTTGTTTTTAAATAAGCATAACTTTTTCAAAAATTGAGTTATCGGGACGTATTTTTTCAAAATTTTTGTTTGCAAATGTATTTTTTGAAAAAAAATAGATCAAAATTATGTGGACTGTATCATTGTTTTTTCAATTTTTGAAAAAAAAACGAAAATTTCTCCATGATTATACCATTTTCAATTTTTTTTTTCTTATAAAAAACTGACATTTTTTATAAATCCTCAAATTTTTTCAGTGGTGTTTTTTGGTTTCTATTTTTTTTATTGATTGAAAATTTTTTTTCTCAAATTTAGCTTATTTCACATACCATTTTGAAAATTTTTGAAAAAATTGAATAAATTTATTCTATGCAGCAATTAATGACAGTTTCAAAAAGTCAAAAAAGGATGGTTTCAAAATGATTTATTTGGGTTCAAATGCGTTGCATGTCTTTTTTTTAAAGCCCACTGTTCGTTCAAAAATGGACGAAATAACTTTTTTTTTCAATTTCTTTGTTTTTGCATATAGTTTTCGAAAAAAAGTACAAAAAAATTATTCAAAAAGATCTTTTATTTTTTTCTTAAGTTTAAAAAAAAATCGAAATTTGTTCATGTTCACCACTCAATTACTTCTTTCATATATATTTTTTCAATTTTGGATTTCTACATATATACATTTTCAAAAATTTTCAAAAATAGAAAACGAAAAAACACCACTGAAAAAAATTTGATGATTTATAAAAAATCAGTCAGTTTTTTATAAGAAAAGAAAATTTTTCAAAAATGGTAATCATCGAGAAGTTTTCGTTTTAATTCGAAAATTAAAAAAAACAGTGAAGATAGATCCAGATAATTCTGATCTATTTTTTGTCAAAAAGTACATTTAAAAACAAAAAGTTTGAAAAAAAAACGTCCCGATAACTCAATTTTTGAAAAAGTTATGGTTATTTAAAAAAAACTTTTTTTCAAAAATTCACGACTGAAATTTTTTTATGAAAAATGATTAAATAATTATTTGAAATAAATGTCATTTTCTCGCAATATGACGCTTGTTATCTTAAATGGACTTGTCAAACCATCTATCACTGTATTCGTAAGAGAAAGCTTTATCCGAATATTAAAAAATATACCGGGGGTTCCGTAAGAAAAAACAAATTTATTGGGCGTCCAGCTTTTCTGGTCATCCTGTATACAACTGGAACATCTTAAAAGATGCCCCTCGGGAGAACAAAACATACCTGTCTCGGCTTTTTTGTTAAAATCACTCAGTATAAAAGATGAATTTTGTTTCAAACTTTATCATCACGCTGTATATTTAAATATTGAAAAAAAAAAATAGTAAAATATTTGAAACATCATTTTCATTATCTTTGAATGAAAGTGGATTGCAAAAGAGCCTATATTTTTTAAACGACAAACTTCTTCAATCAAAAAATACTTTTTCAATGTAGAATTGGATAAAAATTGAAAATACCTATCTTGATTACTTTGTAAGTAAAAATGCAAAAAATTATGTTTCTATTGAAAAAATAAATACCATATTTTGCAGATTAAACTTAAATATTTGTAAAGAATTACAATATGTACTCCACTGAACTCTTTCTCGGTTATATTGTGATAATCTCCATTGTAAGTTTGGTTGCCTAAGAGCAGCGGTCACGTGGAACTCGCGCATTTATGAAGGCACTGTATACAGCGTGTCCCAAAAGTGACGCTCGTCCTTCCGGGATTTGATTAAGGAGACAAAAACGAATTGAAAATCAAGAGTGGAATATTTTCCGATTGTTTTCCGTTGTTGAGTTATTCTAAAAAATTAAAAAATAAGAAACCCTTTTTTTTCTCAAAACTGAGGTCTGTGCTTATGGGGACAAGACATATAATTTATAACCAATAGTAGGTAAGTACAGTTTTCGATTGTCGGTTGTACCTGGGTGTTTGGAATTATTTTAACCTGAAAAGGATAGAAAAAACATTTTAATAATAAAACATAAACTAAAACCTGTTTTACAAAAGGTGATCAAATAAGTTGTTTTCTACTTCAAGACAAAGATTATCACGATTCAACACTGAAGTATGAATACTTTGTAGCATCTCTTGGTCTATTAACGCGACAGCAGCGTATATACGGACTATAAATCTTTTCTTTTAAATAACCCCAAAAGAAAAATCTAGGGGATTCAGGTCTGGTGATCTAGGAGGCCATGTCCACCTCTTCGAATCCATCTGTCTCGGAAGTTTCCATTCAGATAACTAAATTTTATATTCGTAAACCATGACGTGATGGAGCTCCATCATGTTGAAACCAATAATTTAGTCAAACTGCTATAACGGAACGTCATTCAGAAATTACAATTGTTAAGTTTTCATTTAAAAACATACGGCTGCAGCAAATACAGCTTTGAACTACATAAATATTTAATAACCCAGCCCAAATGTTTATTTTTAGTTTTTTGAATAATTTTTTCAATAACTCAACAAAGAAAAACAATCGGAAAATTTTCCACTCTTGATTTTCGATTTGTTTTTGTCCCCTTAATCAAAATCCATAAGGACGGACGTCACTTTTGGGACACCCTGTATATCAAGTTTCGTAAAGATTCAAGATCTAAAAAAATTACCATAATTGCAATGTATGACATGTAATTATCAATAACTCAGCAACGAGTCATCTATCCAATTGCTGGGAGCTTACTATTTTTTTACATTTTAACATTTTCCTCAAGAACATTGCGGTTTACGAAACAAACATCAAGGCACAAAAAAGTTTCTAAATTCAATGGCTTTCTAGCTAACTAATAATTTAAAAAAAAAATCAAAATTTGCGACCAATTTTTTCTGTTTCCAAAGACAACGGGGGCCACGAAAAAGTGTCTTAAGGGAGTTTCTCGCCAAAAAGCGTAGCACTGTGAGATTCCACATGTCATAAAACCCCTGTGTATCAAATTTAGTGATTCTCGTACAATATGGTTTTGAGATATAAAAAAGACTTTTTAGGGGCAAATTTCAGGGGACTGTAACTCCGAAAGAGGGGTCCAGTTGGCAAAAAGAAAAAATACGGCTCCCCTAAATTTGTCTTAAGAATCTATGACCAAATTTTGTTGCATGAATTTCGGGACACACTGTACATGAATTGGGGAGTATTCTCCGAAGTTTCATAGGGTTTCACTAATTTTTAGAAAATTCACAACGATTTTAAGAAAAACATCGATATTTGCTATTTTCTGTTGATTGCAAAGTTATTTCTTCTCAAAGTGCGATCAAACTGAGATACTGAAGAGAAACAGATAAAAAGTATTTTTCTTCGACGTAAATTGTTCCTACTAATCCTGAAACGACCTGTAAAACCCGAGAAACATACTGGTGCTTCTTGTTGGCATGGATTGGGAATCTATAGTACGATCGTATTCGATGCAAAGTAGAGCAAAAAATTGTCGGTCTTTTATCAAAGGAAAATTGTGTCATCATTTTTAGGAGGCGTAAGATGAACCGTTTCGAATTTAAAATGAAATTGAATGTAAAATCTGAAATACCGCCGCATACGCACTGTGTTCTGGTACTAGCTGTAGTCGGCCAGGTGCATCGAGTGTACGAAGTGGTCGGTTATACGTCAAATACTAACCTGGCGAGCTTGATCGTAGAGCAGGGAACAATAAACAGTGGCGCGTACAGAGGTGAAATGTAGTACATATGTGGAATTTAAATAACGAATTGGATTTATAATAAATTACATTTAAAACAAATAGTTTATGAGAATAAAGGGATTTTTGTAGGAACAGGGTTCCAGACGTGAACTGATCTCTTCATCGCACCCCATTACGATTCTTTTTTTTATAAGGAGAACGAAGTTTCAAAGCAAAAACCTTGTATAACAGATATACTATAAATATTTACAGAATGAAAACAAAATATAAATCCTATGATATGATTCTATCAAATGAAAACACTAACAACAATTCTCTACCAATCTCAACAAAATAAGTTATTTTTCTATCAAACAAGAAATGTTAACAAATTATAAACAAAATATAAATTCTATGATTTATGTACTGTACGCCAAACTGCATTTTTCTCATCTTCATTTAATATTAATTTCTTCTTTGCACCCCCTTTTTTAGGTTTCTTAACGTCTCCTTCAATTTTCTTCTCTCTTAAAATTTTGAAAACAGATAATTCGCTTACTCCAGTATATCTAGAACACATTTCCACCAAACCAGTCTTCAGTTTCATGGGATGATCCTTTTCTAAAGGGTTATAGACATTTAATATTATCGTTTTTTCTCTGTAACTTAATATAGATTTTTTTGTACCCACAGCAGTACATCCGGCTCGCGAACATCCAGGCACCGCCTCCATTTATCCATATAACGACAACAGAGCAATAATAATACAAAAAACTTCACTTCACTAGCACAGAAAATATAATAGCATTCACGATTCACAAACAACAGCCCGAAACACACACACAGCACACAAATAAAACACTAAAAACACTTTTGTTACGGAGCACAAGAAATATGATTTCACTCACAAATTCTCAAATAATAGCGCGAAACACACATATAGCCCGAAAGAAATATAATTGCACTTATAACAGTTATAACCTCACAAATATCGCGAGCGAGAAACACGCAGCACCAATACAACCGAAACGAAACTGACCACGCCAGGCCGGCACGCGCGCCGCCGCAAAAAACACAAGACACAAGTCATATGAGGGATAATGAAGGGAGTAATAAATGTATTGTTGTCCTGCCGCCCAATGTGCGAAGGAGATGCCTTTGTTTTTCATTTTGTCCTTCATAAATATATAACTGTTAATCCATAATGCATAAAGAAATTATTCAATTTCCAAAACCCCCTATAAAATGTGTTGCACTGATTCCCTTGACAGGCAATGATTTATTACTTTGCATCGAATACGATCGTACTATAGTTTTGTATCGGTTTGTCTACAGAAAAAAGAAAATCATACTTACACGAGGAGAATGAGTGGGAAGGTGACGTCCTCGTATTCCCTCAGCCCCCCGGGCAAATACAATCTAACTTGGGCCTTATACCCGAACTCAATCTCAACAGAGATTGTTTTAACTTGCGGGGGTGACAGTTTCCTAACTTTTCTCCTTAATTTAAAGCTGGTGTCTAGAACTACCCGCCTGGCGTTCGACGAGGTCTTCACCAGGAGGACTATCGGAATTTCTGGTCCCAGACATTCCTGGATATAAAATTTAAAATTTCTACTGAATATCACATTGTTGTAGTCACAGGGGTAGTCCAACCAGAGGCTGTTGCTTATCATCGTCTCGTTCATGTTTTCCGTGAAGGTCACGTTGGCGTCTATTTCCGGTCTGCACGTCATACACATCCATTCGGATGTGGAGTTCCTGTTGGTTATCCGGACGAGGTGCCGCACGGCGGGGGTGTTATCTATGGTTCCTATTGCGTATCTGCAACATAACTTCTTTCGTTTTACTGTGTAAAACATGCAATCGATATTTTTTGCAAAAAAATGGGAATAGTTAAAATAAATATGGGCTATTTTTTTTATTAGAAAACATGTTTAGAACTTCTGATTTCAGTGTAGTATTATAAATCAGTGCTTTGAAAAGCATTTCGTACTAATGGTGAGCATTTTATTTAAAGAAATTTTGTTTAAAATCAAAATATGTACCTTTCATTTCAAATTTAGTTTGTGTCTCTATACAGGGTGTAACTAAATAAGTGTAAAACATTTAAGGGGGTGATTCCTCATCGAAAAAAAGATAGGATCTTTCATATAAAGAAACTTCATTGGAGCATCCCTTGTTAAGATACAGCGGGGGTACATAAAATTTGTTTAACAATTTTTTTCACAAGCACTAAACAAGTTATAATTTTGAAATTAACCTGACATTTTCTGCTACCAAAAAGACACTTAGCCAGTAATTTATTTGGTTTACCCCATGGTTGTAAGGGGTGGAAAACGCAACCCCTAAAATTTATTTCCAACGTAATTTTTTGTCTTATTATTTTTTTACCATTTAAAAAATTATTTCCGATAGCCTGTTTCATTCTAAAAAAAAATGTCTCTTGAATTTTTTGCCCAAATTAAACCAGTTCGCAGCAAAAAATTATTTTACGAACAAGATACATATCGCCATAAAACGAAAATACGAAACTAATTTATCTAGTAGGCCGCCATTAGCGATACTGACAATTAAATTGGAATCAAGCTGTCAGTTTGTAAATTTTTGAAATTGAAGTAATACTAATTGTGTATTGTTCTGTTCTTAATTTGTTACTTTAATAATTCACTTGTTATTAAAATGGCATACACAAATGAGGAAATGGCTGATATGCATTACGTTTACGGTCTGTCGCAGGGGAATGGGTTAGAAGCTTCTACAAGATATGCTGAAATGTATCCTCAACGGCAGCATCCTTCACATAGAATATTTGTCTGACTTCATCAACGATTACGTGAATATGGTTCATTCAACAAAAGAACGCAGGATTGTGGTCGCCATCGAGAAGTAAGAACACCACAGCTTGAGGCAGCAGTACTTAATTTGATAGAAGAACAACCTACTACCAGTACTAGAAAGATTGCTTTCCAGCTAAATGTTGATCATATGACGGTATTTCGAATTTTAAAGGAACATCTCTTATACCCTTACCATCTGCAACGAGTACAGGCACTGTTACCGCGAGACTTTCCGAACCGTCTTGAATTTTGCAATTGGATGCTGGAAATGATTAGAAGAAATCGTGACTTTCTGAAGACGATCGAATTCACAGACGAATGTAGTTTTTCTCGGGACAAGATTATTAATTTTCATAATTACCACATATGGGCTGATGAAAACCATCACGCTATTGTCGAAACTAACCATCAAGAACAGTTTTCTCTTAAGGTGTGGGTCGGAGTTATTGGGGATTATTTAATTGGGCCTCATTTTCTACCTCCTCGATTAAATGGTGAGGCATACGTTCAATTTTTAAGAAAAGTGCATCCCCCCGTACTGCTGGAGGAAGTTCCTTTGGGCGTCAGAAGGGATATGGTTTTTATGCATGATGGGGCTCCCGCCCATTTTAGTCAAGTAGCACGTCAGCATTTAACTGAAACATATGCAAATCAGTGGATAGGTCGAGGAGGACCACAGAATTGGCCCGCTCGATCCCCGGATCTCAATCCTCTGGATTTGTCTACTTGGGGCCATTTGCAGCATTTGGTTTATCGTACTCCTGTTCGCGATGTAGAGGACTTAAGAAACCGCATTATCGATGCGTGCAGGGTAATTAGAGAGACTCCAGGAATATTTGAGCGAATACGTGGCTCAATGCGCCGACGTCTAGACGCATGCGTAATGTCTGAAGGTAGACATATTGAACATTTACTATGATTTCTACATGTTGTATGTTTTGTTATTATTAAATTAGTTTTGATTATTCCCCTTTAATCATTTAATGCAGGTAGTAACTACAAAATAACAGTAAATCCAGTCCGCATTTATGACGATGTATCTCTGTAGTTGTTCGTAAAATAATTTTTTACTGCGAACTGGTTTAATTTGGGCAAAAAATTCAAGAGACATTTTTTTTTAGAATGAAACAGGCTATCGGAAATAATTTTTTAAATGGTAAAAAAATAATAAGACAAAAAATTACGTTGGAAATAAATTTTAGGGGTTGCGTTTTCCACCCCTTACTACCATGGGGTAAACCAAATAAATTACTGGCTAAGTGTCTTTTTGGTAGTAGAAAATGTCAGGTTAATTTCAATATTGTAACTTGTTTAGTGCTTGTGAAAAAAATTGTTAAACAAATTTTATGTACCCCCTTTAAGTGGCTGTATCTTAACAAGGGATGCTCCAATGAAGTTTCTTTATATGAAAGATCCCATCTTTTTTTCGATGAGGAATCACCCCCTTAAATGTTTTACACTTATTTAGTTACACCCTGTATTGCAATCTATTTTTTTTTTAAATTAATTTTTGTGTGCTATTGATAGAGGTTATAATATTTTTTTATTCGTAGCAAAATACAAGATATGAAAACGGAAAACAATTTTAAAAGTTATACGAATAAACAATACTTTATAAGTTGTTTCAAGAACATAAAGTAAAATATGTCCATACATCACAAAATGCCTATCACAGGAAGACATCAAACATGTATAATAAAATAAAACAGGAAAGGAATACATAAATATACGGAGAAAAAAAAAGTATGTATATGTTTACGGAATCAGTCAATTCGGATTAATAAAATTGTATTAAAAAATATTTTAACCAACACCTGTATATAATGATACTATAATTTCTTTGGTTTTAAAGGAATAATGTGGCCTATAAGTCACTAGTGAGCTATAAGTCATAAGTTACTGGTAAGTTATGACTTATAACCTAGTGACATAAAAAGACAAAAATGATTGGTTTATTTTTCTAGTCTTTATTAGAAAACCAATTTGAAACAATAATAAGTCAACAAATAACCTAAAATGCTACAAACTCACAATCTACCTACTTATTAATATTAACATTAACATTTACGGTAAAGCTGTAATTTGATGCTAAAGGATTATTGGAATAATTTTGTAATTGTGGTAAATTTATAGAACAGGTTACCCCTTTGCTTGTGCTTGCTTCAGGAGTTTGCACCCCTTGTATCTTTTTAGCATTATCAATTTTGCTGGAACAAGCACATTTTAGCCTTAGCCTTAGGCCATTTTAGGCCTTAGCTTACAATATTTTCTAATTAATTCAATTGGATTAACACAAAATCCTTCATTTAACACAGCAAAGCTTCTTGGTTTGTTCGTTTTAGTATTTGAAATCATGATGTGGATATACTGCCCTTTGTCTTCTATATTGTCATTGATAAATTGTCTATTTTCAAGAAATCAGGTACAATGTTATATAGTTTAGGTGCTAAATATAGTAGTGATCTTTGGTCAAAATTAGATAAGTACTTTTGTTTTCCTCTGGTTTCATAGTTATGAGACATTTCGTACTTATTATTAGTATAATGATACCTACAAACAGAGTTGTAGTAATAAAGTTGTCTTACATCGAAGACTTTGGCTTCAAGGTACAACTCATTACTAGGGTAAGTTAATTCTTTTTGCAACATCATCTTTAAACGTCTTTTTTGTAGAATTGTGAGTGGCTCAATGTCACTACTAACCGCTGAACTCCAAGATAGTACGGTGTAATTCACATGACTCTCTATTAAAGTATGATAGACCATTCTTAGATATTGTCTAGATAAATTCCTACAGAGATACTTAAAGGTGTATAAATCAAAAGATGGGGAAGGCAAGTAGCTCGTCTTTTCCAGGTTAATTGTCAATAGTTTGTAACTGAACCAATCTGTTACATAAGACAAATCATTCTCCACAATTTCTTTAAGTTCGTCCCAAGTGTTACCTGTATCGTCTGCAAAGCCTATAACATCTCCAGTGGTAAGTAAGCCACATAAATCTTTAATATACATTAAAAATAACAGGGCCCCTAAAACCTTACCTTGCGGAACATCATATTCAACAGGTAACTATTCACTGCACTCACTTTAACCTTTACACATTGTTTTCTATTTGGCAAATAGCTCTCTAAGAGTTTATGACATTGACCTTTAATTCCTATATTCTCTAGCAATTCTAGAAGCATAGAATGAATGACAGTGTCAAAGGCTTTGGCTTTAAGATCAATGAAAGTGCACAAGCAAGGCTGCCCTTTATCTAGAGTAGAGGAGGCATTATTTGGGAGCGTTATGATAGCATCTTGGGTGGACGTATGTTCCATAAAACCATATTGTTTTTGTGAAAGTAACTTATATTTATTTAAAAACGATGTTATTCTTATTTTGATAATATTTTCAAATATTTTACTAGTTAGTTTTAGTTGATAACGCAGTATTTCCTTTTTTTAAATAGGAATAACCACAGAATTTTTAAATGCAGATGGCCAAGTATCGGTTTTCATGCACTCATTCTCAGTCACAAAGTCCACAATATGTTTAATTAACTCTGATTTCAGGTTGTCAATTCCAGGAGATTTTTTATTGTTTCAATTTAGTAACGAATTCATTGAATTATGTACCTTTTTTCTGAATAATTAAGTAAATATTGATTTGTTACATTTGTTTTCTAAAAATTTACCAGCATTTGCTTTTTAAATAGCGTTAAATTAAACTTTCTGAAGTTAATTTTTTAATCGTTTTGGATTTTCTTCTTATGAAGTTTTATTTCGTTCTTGAAACTAGTTTAGGTTCTATTTAAACTATAATCCTCCACAATGCACTAGTGTTATTTTTATTTACGTCTTATTCTAAATTTTTTTCTTGGCATATGACTTGGCAAACGCAATTTATTAGTTTACTTATGCATAAATTATTCTGTGATGTGGATAACGGTTCTCAAAATGTATGTGGATGCATGAGGTAAAAAAATATGTGATCCGACAATATTTGTAATTTGAAAAAAAAAGCTTTCAATTACTCGTATACCCAGAGATAAAAATTTAAGATTTATTTTGTTTAGTAAGCTGTTCCAAGCAGCCAAAGAGTGTTGTGAATACTTTAATCAAATCGTCTCATGTCCCTCTCGTGTACATAACTGCTACGCCACTGCATTGTTTACATTTTCTTGTTTACCTTTATAATGTGTCAAGATACAGGTATGTCCTTTTCTTATTTATAATACGAATTTTATGATTAAGTTTTCAATCATTTAGTTGACTGGTAGATTTTCGTATTATTTGCCTTACATTTGTACATACAGCACTGCTATGCCTGCTGTTTGGACACAACCATTAGCGGAAATTTGCAAAGAGGACATTAAAAATGTTTGGCAACGTCATTAAGATTGTTCCGATTTGTTCATCAACAGAACTGAAAAACTATGAATGCGACAATTCATAAAAAAAAACTGAGAATAGGCATTAGTTAAAATTCATACTCTGTAGTTTCTTGTACAAGGTGTAATAACGATTTTGCGACAAAGTTTTACCCAATTGACACAGACAGAGGAAGGCTACCAAAGAGCGAGAGTGTAACGTTCGTCCAAGCTAGTTATAGATTCTGAGAAAAAGTGATATGCTGATTCTAACTATAGTCATAACATCGTAACTTGTAATACTGAGAACTCTGAATATACCGGGTGTATTTTTTAATCTGAAACTTTTAAATATCTCGAGAAATAAGCTCTATATGAAAAAAATGCCAATAATCAAAATTTAATCATTTCGCGGGGGAAATTAGTACTAAAATTCTACGGCTAAAAGTACGTAGGATTTGTCTGAAACATTTTCTTCGATTTTATAGATTGCGCTGTAATCGATGAAATTTATTTTTTTTCAATTTCTACATAAATTATGCATACGATTCTGCAATACGTTTGCAATAAAAAATATCACGTTTCTACAGTAAATAATCAAAATTAGTTTTAAAACAAATTTTATTTCTCAAATTTTCACTTACTGAAAAATGACTTGCCAAGAAAATGCTATTATCGCAACCGGCATCCTTTTTGGGATACTTTGCTTATTACTTATCCGAGTGCTTGATTAAATAATAAAGAGGGATAATCCCCCTCGATCCCAAATCATTGAGGCCAATTTCTAGCCATGGAGTAATGGCGCGGCGCGCTTGATTAAATCTGCTTTTAAATAAATGTATTTTTTTTGTATTATGTTTTAAAGATACTATTTTATTTGTAAAAATAACTTTTATAAATATGTTTTATTATGTTTTGCCAGTACGCCCTGTATATTTCATGAAAAAAATATTTAAATGTTTGATACAATTAAATTTAAAATGCCGAATTTTTAAAGGTGCAATTATTTTCATGGCCGTGCTTATTACTTGAGCTTTAAGTCGTGATTTATTATTGCCTTTTTTAAGTGAGGTTTCATTACATTTATCGCAAAACAGTGGAAATGGCAACGAATACAAAAGACGAACAATTTATTTACTTTAACAAACTACCTTTATTTCAGATCCAATTTATTTAGTCTAAATATGATGAATTGTGAGTGTCATTAATTATATAAAACCGACCCCAATAATGTAGGTACAGCGATATTTATTATTTTGGTAGAACTCATTTTGACAGAAACAGGAAATTACACGGGTTGAGTATGTTGACATTTCTAAAAAAATAGAGTTAAAGAGGTACCTTAGTGACAAAAGCACCCGTCAAGGTATCGGACATACCTCATATATGAATTCTATGACTAAATTTAAGCAAAAACTGTTCTATTCACTTTTCCCGAAATCCCAACGGTTCTTGAAATATCAGGGGGTTTGAAGTTGCCAGATCGTATGGGTAGTTGCTAAATAGGGAGGTCTTTCTGAAACTACCTGTATATTACTACACCGTTTGTGTTTTTTTAATCAAAAATAGTAAAATCGCTTTTTAAGGTTTTGACTGATTCATTTGGTGCAAGCGTTTGTTCATTAATATTTATTCCAGATGAAAATAAAAGCAATAATAATGCTGTAATTAAAAGTATTTCTCATTATTCTTACTACCATATTTTATGCATTTTACATGAAACTTGAATATCGTTGGGGATTATATAGCTCATTTACATATTATGTAAATATCATTTCAATGACGAAACAAAGATATTAAGATGAGCATAAAAATATCCCTGAATTAATAGCCATCAGTTTGTTAAAATGCAAATATGAATTTGCATTCGTATTATTCGAAACTACAGCAAATTTAGTAGTATTAGTATGGTTTAAACTGGAATTATAATACTTTAAACAATTATTTCAGATCATGATGCTATTTAAGTCAAATTAAAAATATAGCATTTCGTTAGAAATATGACTTTTTGTCAAATAAATAATATTAGACAATCTCTCCAAATTTCGGCACTTAATATTAATAATTAGCGTCACAGCGATTAAATAAAAAAATATATATCTCAGCTTCTAATCAAATTAGAACAACGATTTTTTTTTAAATTCGAAGAAAAATAATGGTAACTAAACTATAGAGGTTACTATTTCATTTTATAATAATTACCTATCTTAACAATTTAATAAATATTAACATTTTTAAACAAATTAAATTTGAAAAATTCAATTCTCAGTAAATGCATATGTCAATACAACTATTTATGTACAAAAGCAACTAATGATCGAAACTCTACAATGCCTGTGAGCTTGAGAAAAATGAATTGAAAACAGCATCTTTTTAGATAACAAATTCCGGCAACGCCAAACTAATGAAGCTTTCGGGCTGAAATTTTTACCACTCATTAAGGGTGCAAAGAGCTTAAAAAATCCTGAATTACAAGTGTCTGCGATGAAAATTGCATTAATTATTAGCAATTGAAAAAAACGGCAATTTTCGACCATTTTTGAGCTCTCGCGCATAAACAAATTATCGGAATTTAATCGGACTTCTCAGTTTATAGGTTTATTTAATACCTACCTTTTTTGTATAAACCTTTTTTCGCTATGAATAACAGTTTTTTTTATGAGACTCAAAAAACTACTTTTCCTTAACTTTGACCATTGTTTAAATAAAGTTTCCCAACTAGTCTCGAGTTGATTTTTTAATATTTTGTTAATAACACGTTTCCGAACAATATTCCGCAGAGAAGCTTCTAATAGTATTTTTTTCCCGAAACAGGTTGTTTCATGTTTATAATGACTGGACTATAATCTTAAAAATTGACGTAATTTGAGTAAGTAACATATATTTTTTAACTTCCCTGATAAATTTACTTACATGTAATGATTCTCTTCATCCCACGCAAGGATTCTGGTAAGTTCAAAGGCTCCATGTGTTAGAGGTCTGACTTTGTTGTTGTATATCTCGCAAATGTGCATATAGTGCCCGTTTTCTCCGTCTTTGACTGGCAGTCTCACCAAAACTTTAGTACCATTGTCATTGAAAATTGGGTGGAAAATCGGTTCTGTCCAACCTATGTGCTCCCTTTCCACATGAAACTGAAAAAATTGTATACAATAATTTTAAATTGTACAACAAATAGTTATACAATTATACAATGCAAAGTGCTTAAACTTCTCTATGTGGAAAAACCTTACATTCTTTCTAATAAAAACAATTTTTTTTTAAATTATTGGCTTCCGAGGTATTTGAGCTTGAAAGTACTTTTTTTAATTCAACAGTTAATTGATAAGTCAAATGACTTCTGGAAGAGATACAAAATGTTGGTGTTGAAATATGGCCTTCTGACTGTCTTGAGGATAGTCCAAACCATATGGCTAGACATAACCAGAACCGTACATCCCTGGGATATACGGGTATATCCTACCAGATATCCTAAGGATATCAAGTTTCTGCTAATTATGAAAGCAAAGGTAGACACTCAACATTAAAAAATGTATGGGTTTAAGAAAATATAAATAATTATGCAAATATGATTCATTTGAACTTACATCCGTGCAGTTGTAGTTATTCTGCGATCTGCACGTGACTATAACGTAAACATTCTGTAGTCTGTTTAGCCAAACTATGGCCACGTTATTGTCACCGTGAAAACTGGCGCTGGTGACGTAACTGTCCGCTTCGACGCTATTGGTGGGCCTCAGTTCGAAAGGAAATAAGAACTTGGGCATCGTCAGGTTTACTATCCACACTGTCACTTCTGGGTTAGCAGTTTCCACCTGAAATACAATCGTGTTTTGAGACGAAGTAAAATTGGAACTATTCCATGATTAATACACAAAAAAAATTATGAAGATGTATGAAAATTGGCTTCCCAACAGTTATTTATGCAACACTAGCAACCCGCCCCGGCTTCGGTAAAATTGGTTGAGTAGTTTNATCCATATGGCTAGACATAACCAGAACCGTACATCCCTGGGATATACGGGTATATCCTACCAGATATCCTAAGGATATCAAGTTTCTGCTAATTATGAAAGCAAAGGTAGACACTCAACATTAAAAAATGTATGGGTTTAAGAAAATATAAATAATTATGCAAATATGATTCATTTGAACTTACATCCGTGCAGTTGTAGTTATTCTGCGATCTGCACGTGACTATAACGTAAACATTCTGTAGTCTGTTTAGCCAAACTATGGCCACGTTATTGTCACCGTGAAAACTGGCGCTGGTGACGTAACTGTCCGCTTCGACGCTATTGGTGGGCCTCAGTTCGAAAGGAAATAAGAACTTGGGCATCGTCAGGTTTACTATCCACACTGTCACTTCTGGGTTAGCAGTTTCCACCTGAAATACAATCGTGTTTTGAGACGAAGTAAAATTGGAACTATTCCATGATTAATACACAAAAAAAATTATGAAGATGTATGAAAATTGGCTTCCCAACAGTTATTTATGCAACACTAGCAACCCGCCCCGGCTTCGGTAAAATTGGTTGAGTAGTTTTTGAGTTAAATCGTAACAAACAAAAAATCAATCATCTTTCATCTAATGCAACCCTAATATTAATTTTAAATTAATTCACGATATATCTATATACCTAAAGACAACAAACGAACTCAAAATTAAAAATGCAAGACCTTTAAATTTAAAACATAATATGTAACTACCAACAATGTGAAAACAAAACGAATTAAATTAAAGTACCTATGTTCAGGACTATCAATTTTAATTAATAAGTAAGTAGTTAAGTATCTTACTTCCTAAAGAAAACAAATACGAGACAAAAATGCGACTATGAAGTTTTAAATGATTCACAATAAGAAAAAAACAAACAAATTATTAAAACTCAATGAAATAAAAGTATGTTTGCAAGTATCTATGTATGTTCCGACTACCTAAAGACAACAAATACAAAACAAAAATGTGACCTTAAAATATCGAACGCAATTATAACTTTCCAACAATACCCAGAAAGAAAACACAGTCGTCGGTCGTCACCTCCATTCGTTCCAAGTCAGTTTATTAAAGGTTTATTAGCTAAACAGTAGGCAAGACGGTGCGGGGGGAGGGTCGGCGATCGCATCAAGTGAAGCGAGGCGCTTGAATTTTATTCTTTTTAATTTTTTTGCGATTATCCTAAGATATTCATTTAAATTATATGGTGTGAAAGAGTAAAATAATGTGCATGAAATGCTTAAAGTCTCTTAACTTATTTGAAATGATAAGGATTAATACCGTATTTGTGTAAATAGCTTTTACATTACCGCTTTATAATTGCCAATTTTTTAAAGTAATAAAATTGATATAGGTAGTATGTTATCTTTAACATATAGACATATGCCACCGCAGACATTTCTGTAGGCATATATAAGATACACAATTCCACCATACATTGATACACTACATAAACTTTCGGACCTCTCCGGCTCGGACGCGAGGGGTCCGCCTCATTTTGATTTTGTTATATCTCCTAAGGTATTCATTTAATTTGCATGGTGTAAAGGGAAAAAATAATCTTCATGAAATGCTCAAGCCAACTAACTAAAGTATTTAAAATGATAAGGATTAATACCGTATTAGTGTAAATAGCTTTCCAATTACCGCTTTATAATTGCCCATTTTTTAAAGTATTAATATGGATATAGTATGTTACCCTTAAGAGATAGACATATGCCATCGCGGACTTTTCTGTAGACTTATATAAGATNTATTCATAATTGTTTTACTCGTCACCGTGATTTATTGAATGTGCCACGACACCACTCTGCTCTATTTGAACGTAGTTTTAGTTATAACTCGGCTAAAATTTATAATTCTTTGTCAGATGACATCAGGGGGGCAACTAGTCTAACAGTTTTTCGGAGAAAAGTTAAGGTCTGGTTCCTTAGTAATCGTGATTGTGTTAACTGATATTTGTATTGCTTATATATTTCATTTGTATGTCTTCTCTCTTGCTGTGAATTGATATAGATGTTTATGATTAACTTTTCTTGTTTTTAAAATTTAATTCAATGTACTCTTTAACTGGGGTGGTTGTATGAGCAACTTGGTTGGTTACCGCCACCCGTTATAGATGTTCTGTTTATGTAATTGTTTTATAACTGAATAAAGGCCTATTATTATTATTAAGTATACAAAGTGAAGCTTTTTAGAAGAGCAGGAATCTATTGTCAAAAGGCTGTAATTGTAAATGTGTTCTAATCTGTGCAAAACGGGGTTCCATAGGGTTCTGCCTTGAAACCCCTACTATTAATTGTTATCTATGTCAATGACTTTTCAATCAACAGTTATTGAGAAACTAAATATGATAAACCAGTTGGTATTACTTAACGGGCTTTCTCATTTGAACTACTTCCATGACCGCTAAAGAATTTTTTTGAAAGAAATTGGATTTTATATCTACAATAGTCGTACAATAAGGATAAGTTTAGGAAGGCGGTCTAGAATGGTATTATTTGTACCGTCTGATTTAAGGTGCAAATTATTATTTGGTACAGTCTTGGTATAGTCTTTCCGAAGTCAGTTGGTCATGTATAAAAACGCCTGGCATGAAAATTAATGAGTTTCATAGGCGCCCCTATAAAAAGTTTCCTGCTAAAGGTAAAAAATAATAATAATTTGTATATAGTGTGTAGAAAATTTCTATCATATGTTCATTTGGCCAACAACACATTTTAATTATTTATGTCCTCAAACAATTTTATTATGTTGATGGTAAATTTTGGTTATGACATATAAAAAAACATTTACATTTTCATTCAAATATATTCTGCTCGGCAAGAACCAACGGGAAGGTATGACCATATCCTTGCCAGGAAAGGATGAGGAAAAGTTGTTAGTCTAGGTTAGAAAAGTTATCAAATAAAAATAATCAACAATAAAATAATTCCGCATTGCTACAATGCACTGCTAGGTAATTTGTCAACAACTGAAAGGACCCCGCACAAACCTTATGGAAAATGGCTTTCGGTCAAAATGGCTGAAATTTAAATATGATATATCTCTCACCTTCCTGAGCAAAAGTCGTCATGGGGCCCAAAGCGATCCTATGTGTAGGTTTAAAGATATAGAGCTTTGAAGCTAACGATTTCATAGCACGGTACTGAATATCTATTAATACCTATTAATTAAGGGGTATTATCTCCCAAACATGAAAAAAATCTAAGCATTCGTTTATAAGTTATAATGAATATTCGAGAAAAAATAATTATATTCAACATCCCGTATCTCGGAAACGAAGCCTTCTACGACATATGTTTATAGGAACTTTTCTTTCTAAAAACATGTGTTCTATCTCCTGTTAAAGTTTGTCTACAAAAAACTGACTCACCCTGTATATACGGAGAAAGGGAGATATATATACACCTATCCTGCACTTATATTCAGCACCGTGCAATGAAATCGTTAGCGTCAAAGCTCTATTCAGGGGTCGGCAAGTAATTTTAGGTGGGGTCCGGATATTTTTGAAAATTTTTAATGAAGTCCACAAAAAAACTCACATTTCTTAGTAATTTTTTATTTTAATTTGCACTCACAAATTTAATCTACCTACTAACCATTAAGAACTCAAATCAATCACGCAATTGTAGTAGAAATGATAAGGGTGGCACTCAAACGTATTATTATCAATAGAAAACTATTTTTTAAATAATTTAATTGAGTAATTTATACTTTAAAAAAATTTTTGGGTCCATTATTTTACCTTCCGCGGTCCGGATCGGTCCGCCAGTTGCCGACCCTTGCTCTATATCTTTAAACCTACACATAGGATCGCTTTGGGCCCATGACAACTTTTGCTCGGGAAGGTGAGAGCTATATCATATTTCAATTTCAGCCATTTTGACCGAAAGCCATTTTCCATAAGGTTTGTGTGGGGTCCTTTATGGCTGGTCGCCCAGTGCGGCCATGTTTGTGCGCCGTTAGTCCGGCCGCGCATTCTTCAACTGGGCGTATACATTTCTACCACCTCCACGTTTAGTTCGACCAGACCTGTATATGGGTATGGCTAAATAAATATGGGAACAAGTTTTTCTAATATTTCGATGCCGAGTTGCTGCATAATGATCGAACCTAACTCTTTGGTCTTCAATTGAGATCGGAAAGACTATAATTTTTTTACCATACACCATTTTGACTATGTTCCCGTTGTTTTCAGGAAAATAGATAGCATATTCGTATTCAGCACCCCTAAATTAGAATTAAATTATAATGGTTTCATACAGTTCCTTTAATGGTCCACAATTGCCTGTTTTTAACAATGTTCATTCAACAGCCGTACAATTTTTACATGATTTTTTTCCCTAACGGTTACTTATTTCTAACGAACTACTGTTAACTAGACCCATATATCTCCATTTTCTTGTAGTGTTTGGTGTTATATAAGCCGATTTCGAGGGTTCTGTCTCAGAAGGGATTCTAACGAGAATTCAAAGATTGTGTTGCGTAAAAAAGTGTGGAGCAAAAAACAAGTTTTAACTTCATCCTATTCAGAGAATTTAGGACAAGGCTTAAACTATATTAAGTTCTGGTTCAGAAATAATTTATTACTATAAGCGGCTCTTCGTCATTCTTCTAGTGCCAGATATAGATTTTATTTTCCTATTTGTTTCCGTTTGAGTAGTGATTTAGTTTCTAATCTTAATTTATGGCCCTTCAAAATCCCCAGAAATAGTAAAATCGTCAATTAAGTTGGTAAATCGTAATCTTAAAATTTCTTTAGGTGAAGTCTTATACTGGAACATTTAAAAGATAAAAGAAATCAAAAATTTCATATTTATTGCTACGCATCTTTTATACAGAGTGAGTCAGTTTTTTGTAGACAAACTTTAACAGGAGATAGAACACATGTTTTTAAAAAGAAAAGTTCCTATAAACATATGTCGTAGAAGGCTTCGTTTCCGAGATACAGGGTGTTGAATATAATTTTTTTTTCTCGAATTTTCATTATAACTTATAAACGAATGCTTAGATTTTTTTCATGTTTGGGGGATAATGCCTATTAATTAAGGGGCATAAAACAAGCGATAAGAATGTTCAAAAACTTGCACAGTGGCGGAGTGGAGGGGGTGCTCAACCCCTTTCTTAAACAGAACTTCTACGCCAATGACTATTTTTTAAAAAAACTGTTATTTTCATTATCTACATACAGTTTAACAAAAATAATGTCCCTTCTTCTGTTTCGAAATTCCTGTGCGTTTCCGAGTTATTTTGATTTTTAGTGTTTGTTGTGGTACTAAATTAAGTAATTTATTTATTATCAATTATCGGCTAAATATTTAATTCTTTCAACGAAACCTACCTAAATATGGTTTGTTAAGGATTTTAAAAAGCCGAAATCTCTTATT